AATCTTGGGACTGGATTAAAACCGAAAAAAGTATAAGTAATAGTAAAAGCCCTGTACTGCCATTGCTGTAGCTATCCATTTGTAAAGCTATATCATCCAGTTTTTGAACTTAATTGGTTGGTATAACAGTAAAACGTAATCTCTTTCACATATATTTATGTTCCTATTTTTTGTTGTAAAGATATAAATCACAAGTTTACTTACTATATATGTTCACGGATCCAATGGAGGCCCGGTTGGCTTTGCAGAACGTATAATTATGCAGTCAAATCCGAATTTAAAAGGACAACTACGGTCAATGGAAGCTGTGTATAAAATATATAATTACATGTAGCTGTGATGGATACTTGGGATATGGACGCCAAAATACATAATTATCTGGTTCAGAAAACACTGGCATACTTATCTACAGGGAGGAATGTAAAATCTGATAGAACAATGACTTTCAATTAAACGTACTTGTATCAGATAAATACTGGGACAGTCAATTGCTAGTTGTTTACAAGAGGTTCGTTTCAACAGACAACTAAACTTTATTTTTGGAAAGGGTCCATTCTCATATTAAGTGTATGTCACTAGTCTTTAAAAATTGCAACTGAAAATTGGATTTTTCCTGAGAACAAAATAAACATTAGCATACATTTAACAAATTGTCCTCTGAATTATTGATTGATTGTTGTTTGCTTAAAACGTCCAGTGGCAAATATTTCATGTATATTCAGGACAAAAATTAAAAAAAAAACAATAACATTAATTTTGAATGGTTCTTACCAGGATGAAGGGCTTGAATGAAGACTGTAACTGGAACAAAGGGTACGTTTAAGGAAGACAAATGATAGCAACAGATCACATAAGGGCCCTCAAATTTCGTGTTGAGGGTTATTTAACGTACCTGGTGGAGCTCTCTACCTACACGATGCGTCGGAATGAACGTCACCGTTCTGACTGACCTCTCTCTCAAACGGGTTTTACTTCCGGACTGGAGAAGTCGATGTGACCATATATGTATTACCCAGTAAAATCTGGACATCAAATGCATTTAGATTTCATTTACCTAGTTCCTTGTCATGCCTTTAACTTTTCCAGGTGCATTAGTTTGTCTGTACTCAAGGATTATTGTGTGATGAACCGTAATAAATGACACTGTAAAGACAATTTGAATGAGATCATTTATCAATTCCCCTTCAGTGTGTTGCTTTATCTCTAGATAATTTTCATCAACGAATGTCAACAGTAGTTACATAACGGGTGTCAATGGTAGAGCTGAAACTGATGACATATATGCAGGTCATTTTGGTCGGAATTATTTTGCTCAATCTTAAGTTTTGTGAAAATATTTTTTGTCTGACGTATTTTTTTATTTTTTTATGTTGCCATGGTGTCCGCCGACCCCAACCCCTTGCTATCTTCTGTCTTTTTTAAATTAGACATAATCATCTGAATGGTACATTGCTTCGTGCGAATCTTATTCATCAAGTTATTTCGAACAGATTTTTAGAGTTTGTTTTCTGTTCTTGTGTTGTTACAGCACTGTCTAAGGTTAGGGGATGGTTGAGCTCTGACAAACATGTTTAACCCCGCAAAATTCTATATGTGCCTGCCCCAAGTCAGAAGCCTGTAATTCAGTGGTGTAGGTTAGCTGCTGTCTGTCATATTTATTTTTCGATTATTGTTTTGTTAAAAAGCTGGCTATTGAGTTTTTATTTACCTGTTTAACATTTGTCATGTCGTGGCATTTTATATCCGACTAGACGTATTTTTTTCACTGCTACAGATGTACATGTCGTACGGTTATACTAGTTGTTAAAATACATATAAGTATATCAATCATACCCCCACTCTTTATTTTATAGGACAAAACATGCACGGAAAATCAAAATAAAAAGTACTAACAGTACCACCAGTCCACGTAAACTGCATAATATATCAAATAGTAGCATACATGTATCTGGTAAATTAACATTAATGGCGACAGTATGTAGACTGCAACTAGAGAGCAGTTTTTTTCCAGTTAGTTATGATCAGACGTTCTACGACGAGTTGTTATTAGGGTTTTTCAGTACGCAAATGTAGGTGGACTTTTGCGATGTATTCCCTAAACAATGCCTCTCTATAGATCCTAGAACGATAAAGATGGTTATGATAGGTTCTAGCAATGTGATTCTTAAGCGCTGTTTTTTTTTTGTTAAGTTAAAGAGTACCGTTCAAACATTTAAATGTACTTTAACATTTAAACTGTAATACAATTGTGTTTCTCTCTGTTTAGGAACGTGATTAAAAACACTTACGCGCGGGATCTTGAAATGATGAATATGTGACATCAATATCTATCTAATTAGTACACTCAGTTATCGGATATATGTAAAATCACATAAAGTAAGTACATCCTCTCCTTTCACGAGATTTAAAGTTAATCTTTTATTGTCAAATTGAATGCTATTGATTCTTTAACCTTCTATTTTGAAATATGTTTGGTAAAAATAAATAAACAGCTTAAAAAATATACTATCATGTACATGTACAACATCTGCCTATTTGTTCAAAAATAAAATAACATCTCAGATTTATTACATTTTATTCTATCTTTCTACATACCATGATGTTAAAAGTTCAACCATTGTACGCATATAGCATATCTGGGATAGACCAGTCAATAACGCCAATATAATCCTATAATCCTATACAAAACAATTATTTCATGGATATAAAAATGACACAATTTCATGGTGTAAGTACAAACTCGAGGGTGGTGAAACTACAGCTAGGATGAACCGTTTAATGTTATTAGTAAATACTGTGCTGCTTGTTATAACATGGACGGCAAGTGGTGCACATGGATGTTCCTGCTTCCCGCAACATCCACAAAGTCAGTTTTGTTCTGCTGATTTTGGTAAGTTACATTTTGAAATGAAATACTTTATATTGATGTTAAATTTTCTTCACGGAAGTCAGTTGCACTAAATTCAAATCAATTAACCCCAAGAAAAAAAATATAAATAAGAGTTTTAAGAATTTCACATCATTTTTCATGACTCCGTCTCGCCTGGGCCACGAAACGTCATCGGCATCCAATATAGAAACCATAGTTACAATATTTTATTGTGCCTTGATTTTGTAAATAACATTGAGATTTGAAAGATAATGATGACAGTTTGTATAAGATAACTTTTAAAAATAAGAAATTGTGGTAGAATTACCTACTATACAACTATAACATTACTTTTGACCAGACTAAATGATGTAGAAGTTTGTTCGCTATGATCTTATGTTATGCAAATAAAGAGAAATTGTATTATTATTAATAAGTCAGTATACCCCCCTTTCCGAGTAAGAAATTACGCGAATCCACGCCACCACGCGTTCGCCTTCAACAATAAGCATATACTTTATAGTCATTAAAAAGATCGACTTGATAAAATGCGATACAATTCAAACGAGAAAACCATCGACTTTAATATACCGAATTAAATCACATAGATATTACATTATTTTTAGTGTTCTATGGTAAAGTGTTGAGGGAACAAATCAAGAAAGGCCCACCTGGTGATTTTTATGATAATGAAACAGTGAGGAAATATACAATGCAAGTGCTGTATACAATGAAGGTGAATATATTTATCCTGCAATTGGGTGTCTTGTCATACATTTACAGCCCTACAGATATCGCTAGGCTGTATCTGTGTACTATACAGATATCGCTTTAAAGCTCCGACCACTGCCGGACTACTTTTGTGTATTGCTGGTGACGATTGTTGTATGAAACGTGACCTCTGAGTGTGTATTGTAGTCGCATTCCAATGACGTATTGATTGACCTTATGCAAACTACAGATTTGTTTTCAAGTATTTCTTTAGAGCAATATGAAATAAACTCATTTTCTGCAAACAGACAGACATGCGCAGCAGGATTAACTCCATTTTCTACGGCATCAATCATCAAGTTCAAAAGTTCTTCTGTAACACACAAAATTAATCATGCAACAATGTCAATTTCAGCATGTTCAGTGAATGTCAAGTTCAGTTCAAAATTTTGAAGCCTAGGACAAATCATACCTTTTTGTTTTAAATCAAACAATGTTTTGTTAGTTATTTTTACTTGTTGAATTAGTTGTTATGTTATAACATGTATAATTAATAATTATTTACTTTGAGCGATGTATTATTGTTGACCATTCGAGATTCTTTTCTGTGAACCCGTCTTCAGCTGAATGTGTGATTTTAATTTTACTACGCGGGCCTCAAAGGATACTAAATCGAAAATAAATACAGTATTTTTTTCAGTCTTTCAAAGCAAAAACAATATTCAAAATTAATTGCAGGATAAAAACAATGCCTGTTTAATGTCTTTACATATCAGCTGTGTTTCTACTCGGCTCGAAACAGGAGTAATAGCTCACTGAAGCTCGCATTAATACACCTGTGTCTCAGCCTCGTACAATTACAGCTGATCTGTAAAGACACTAAACAGTTATTGTCTATACACATGATATCTATATTTTAGAAATACCCGACCGAAGTAACAATAAAGATAAGAGTTGTGTGCAATACGAGGAAAACAAACGTTTATAATCTAATATCGATATCTAGTAATCAATTGATTCAGATGATCAAAACTTTTTAAAAGTAGATTAGGAAAATGTCACTTGTTAAAGAAAAATAGTATCGCTATTCTCTTGTGGGTTTATACGGAAGCGTATTAGGGACATATTAAAAGTAAAATTGTCATTGAGCTTTTTCATAAAATTTCGCCTATAACTTTCGTTTTTTAAAAACTTGCTTATTGAGTTTATGATTTATATGTTTCTTCGCAATGCTGATATACATGACTGGGAAACAAAGAAATTTTTAGTTTAAGAAAAGTAGAAATTTTGAGTTTAAGGTCGAACATAAATAAAAACTGTTATTTGAAATCACATCATTCTCTTGTTTTAAGTGAAATAAGAATAACAAATAGTTTGGGTTTTCTTATTAAATTTTTACAATAGGGCATTAACGCTCGTGTTGATAGAGAAATAGTTGTCCAGTCTTCAGGGAATGATGGCATGTGTGGGATGTCCCTTCAAGTCGGCCAACAGTATGTAATTATGGGTAGGTACAGAGGAAAATATAGGAACCACCGCGAGCTTTTATCGATCTTTTGTCGATCACAAGGGTCATTCGGATAATCTAACATAGTTTTTAATCTTCCATTTCATGGACAGACCCACGATTAAATGAAAGGCGAAATATATCAACTTATAAGTGGAAAACAAACTGACAACGTCATGACTCAAAAAGAAAAAGACAAACAACAGTACACAAAACACAACATAGAAAACTTTAGACTGAGTAACACGAACCGCATCAAAAACTGGGGTGGTCTCAGGTGCTTTGGAAGGGTAAAAAGATTCTGCTCAACATGTGGCACCCGTCTTGTTGTTAATGTTAGCCTTTTCCTGTAGACATAAGTACGATGAATCCGATACATTGTATAAAGGTACTGAAAGCAAAGCTTTCTTCATCTTCAAAAATCATTGAAACATCTATTTGAAGGATCCGTAGTTAATCCGTTGCAAACAAAGTACCCCTTTAAGTGGCCGTATAGATTTCCTGCTCTTCAGACGTCTGGGCGATCATATTTTTCGATTCTACAAACTTGATTAATTTCCAATTTTGGGAAAAAAACATAAGGGCGTGTTTATAAATATTCAGTCTTTTCCCTGGACCAGATTTAAATATCTTACTGAATGAGATCTAGGCACGAAAAGTACTATTGCGCATATGAATGGGAACAAAACTGAGTTCTTCGTCGGTTGGTAATTAGTGGATAATTGTTTCATTGGAGATAATACCACATTACCTTTTTGACTTCGAATGGATATGTGTTGGTGAAAAGTGTAAACGGATTGTACTTGATTTTATGATGTTTTTCTACGGTGTCACAGATATTTGCTGTATTGCTTGTGTGTCAACAAAAATAATATAATATAAAATAGCAATAGATAAAGACTGATTGGTGACATTTTTTTTCTTTGCATTCAGGTAAACATCATTCAATTTTCATATATAGTCAAAACTAATAAATGAGGGTATGAATGACCTTCATTACTGTATTCAATAATTTTTTCACTCATTATTATTGTTTTAAAAAAAAATGGCTACTTTGTAATTACTTGATAACTGTGTTCTGGACATTATTTTTTTCTGTAATCAGTATATTTTAACCCAAATTCTTTTATTTTTACAGTTATAATTTGTATTTTTGCACTGCATTACTAGTATTCTATTATGTATTGTTTTTGTCTTTTTTTCTCTTTTTTTTTGCCCGTTATTCTCTTTCCATCCAAGACCTCATAAATCACAGAACTCTTTTGTATTTTAGGTCATAGAAGCGGAAGAAAGAAGATGTTTGGATTTTGTGACTTTGTAAAGAGAACAAGTGGTTTGTCTTTTGAAGAAACGTTTTTCCTATTTACCAATGGTCCATATTCATACTTGAAAAACTGCAAAAATGGATGTGATGTAAGTTCCACCTGTGTTGGTTGACAACAAGTTAATTTGAAACACACCTTGTTAACTGTTTTAAATATTATGATTGCTGTTAACTTAAAGTCAAACGGTTTATCGTTCATGCATGTTTAGGACGAGAGCATTAACAATAAATACAATAGGTAGGTCTTTCAGTGTGGTTCGGATTGGGATAATCAGCGGGAAATTATTAATGACATTTGAAAATTAGGGTACAAATGTATATTGTATATGGACAGAAATAAACACCTGCAACAGGCCATACAAGGACCCCCTCAAAGAGTTTTTTTTAACTCAAGGAGCGTGGAACTCTCTTTTTATGAAGATTTTACATGTCCATTTTGACTTCAGGTGGCTCCAAATTGATACATTCATTTTACAAGAATCCGTTTCTAGTAGATAAATATCCCTTGCTACATGAAGATAAGAGCATATATATATATATATAATTATGAAAATCAAAATATGATATCTAAGTCCAGATCTTCACAGGATAAATGAACTCACATTCTCTGCTATCAAAATACAAATTTTGATGATTTCTTTTTTATATTTTCAGGACATAAGCGATAGATCTAAGGGGTGCCACTTCTCACATGAGAACTATGCTGCCGTTGATTGTTTATCTGGGTCAGCATTATGCCGTAAGGAGAAAAACGTCTGTAAATGGTATAATGCGGAGAAATGTCCATCAATAACAACGCGACCAACATCTCGGACAACACCGTTATATCGTCCGCTACCAGTCATGCGTCGTTAAAAATAAATTTAATTGATACATGCAAATATTTTCAGTCTGTCAAACAAATCTTTATGCTTTGAGCTAACCGATACATATCTGATTACTACTCGTATTTTTGCAGCACCACATTGGAATTTATGAATACAGAGTATACTTTAATGTGACAGCAACATGCATATCAAGGGCAGTCCAGACTAGAACAGGATACTCGTGCTTGCAAATATGAATTAATTTAACAGAAACAATGATCAGCATTAGTCTCTCCAAATAAAGTTAAAGAAAAAAACAAACGTGGAGATATAAATATTATAACATGCATTCTTGTCAATTTAAATCGACTTTTTATATCTCAACCCTGAGCTTCTTCTTTTCAACCTCAATTTATAAACTTAAAATCGTGTATACAGTAGAAAAGAAAGGATATGGGATATCCATTCATTACACAAATAATTTGAAATGTATTTGAAATAACAGCAATGTACCGTTTTGCAATAATAAATATAAAATCGTATAATTTGCCTTCAATTATGCTGGTCTTGTGCACAGTCGCACAGTTAAATATCTTCAACGTATTTAGGTTCTGGCCATAAAACATTAGTTGTATAATAAAAATATTCTGGTAACCATATACATGTATGCAAAGAACGTTCAGTCAATACATAGTACATATCTTTTGATTTCTTGAATTCTAAGACTGGAACTTAAGAGGATTGAAATATAATGCTATTAAGCTTAACTTTTGGTTAAAAAGCTCGTAAAGTTTCTATGTTTTTATACATCCCTGGGTTTTAAATGTTTGAGCGAACCTGCTTAAGGTAAATCTAGAAAAACGTACCGCAGATGCACGAAACGTACACTGTGTTATTTATTTTACTTAAAGATGTTTGTTCCTCTGTTTCTAAATGACAAGCTTTTGAAAAGACTTTGTACATTGAAAGTACACAAATAACGGAACATAAAAGGTAGAACATATGGCAAGTTTGTATCATTGTTTTTGAGATATACTCAATTGAAAATTTGGCAAAAAATGCATCTGTGTAAATTTTTCATACAGTTGATATTGACACTTTAGAAAAAAAGGGTTTAATAAGATTTTTAAAATATTATATGTGATACGGTTATGAAGAGAAAAGTAGGAGTCAGCAGGCAAAGTTTGTATTTGCACTACATGGATAAGTCTAGAAAATGCAGAATATCTGACAAAAAGTAAAAAAAACAAGAAAAGAGAGCAAGCTATGAACTATGAATTCATTTAGATATTACGCAATCCCAATATTCCTTCTGGTATTTCAAAACCCTCTCCTCCGCTTCCATGATTGGCCTTTTTCGGTTGCGTAATAATCTGATTGTTAATCACGCTTAGGTGTGTCTCCACGGAGACGTTGCAAAAGTGATTTGATATTAGTGTCGCCAAGATTAGTACGCTGATCACGAGATTTAATACTTCTATGCATATTTCCTGGTTAAAGAGTACATGGAATTATAACTTGACTGAAACTTCCTTGGCCATAAGAGGTTGTCGAAAAGAGTGAAATCAAGGTTGAATTAACTCTACCGGTGAAGATTAACCGAAATGATTTTAACATTGGTACTCCATTAACATATTGTGGAACTCTAGTCATAAGCAAATTATAAATACAAGTATTGAATAAAATCAAAGAGCATCTCATTCTTACGAAATGAATTGTGGAATAAACTTTGAACAGAAAGCTAGTCAAGTCGTTATTGTTTGTTTGTTTGTTTTTTTGTTGTTGCTTTTAAAAAAGATTTTTCTTGTAATCATGTTTCTTCTAATTACACCATTCATCAATGTTCTTCAAGTTCACGTAACGCTTTAATGGTGATTTCACAGATTTGTTATAATTGTGGTTGAAATTGTGGTCTTTGTGGTGAGAAAATATTTCTTTGTATGAAAGACATTAACAAATTCAAGAAAAATGAAGCATACATGACTACAATGAAGATTGAAAATGTAACATTTTTGTTTTTTATTTCAAAGATTGTGTATATGAGCATGATGAGAACAGATCTACTTTTACATGATCATGATGATGACTCTAACATGCACAATTTCTACACGTAGTAGAATTGTCTTCTTTTTTTTTTTTAATTAATCAATTTTATTGCACCTTTGCTGTTAACAATTTACTCAATCTACAGCTTTAATTAAGTATCCCTTTAAATTAGTTATTGGATATCTAGGGAAAGATATTCAATAAGGTATTTCTATAAAGTAAGTTATATTAATACAGATCAATACATTAGAACAATTCTACATAATTGTTGTTTTTTTACCGGAATACGGTACGTTTCTTAACCTATACTGTATATGATTTTTTTATCAAAGCTTCACTGAACCGCGAAATTGATGATGTATTGATCTTTGATACTGATAGCATGACTCTTCAGTCGACAATAGAATTTTGAACTTAAAACTTTTTGTTTTGTTTACAACACTGAATTATATAAGAAGTCTTGGATGATGAGGTAAAAATGTTTTTTTTTTCACACATTATTTTTCAACAGTAAATGTTGATTTCTATGATAAAGCCGAAGATCGAAAGTTGATCGAAAGTACACGTGGTCTTCAAATTATACATGTATGAAGTAACGTTGCATTGTGTTGTGTATTCTGCTCGCTCTCCTGCTGATTATAATTTTGCATTGTGAACAGGAATAAACATATTTAATAACAATTCTAATTCAGTGTAGCTGTAATAAATTATAAAAGAGTAAAATTGCGAATTTCAGTTAATGCACACCAATTGACTGGACACATGTGCAGTCATGTATTAATGAGGTCACAGCTAAGACTTGTATCTAATAATTGTCATTTCATTTAAAGGAATTCGAAATATTCCCTTGTTTTAAGTATTATTTTCTTGTATTTTTTGCTTCTGATTTTATTTATGTTAATAATGTCCCAGATTTCATTTTTGAAGATTTTGAAGATATCAATGACCTTATCTTTCTTGTCAGACATATAATATGCTTTATAGATGGAAAAGAAAATTATAGTTAATAGATAGTTCATATCAAAATAAGCTTCATCATCAATTTTATAGCCAATTACTAAACTTTCAAGACTAAGTATATGCTTATCAATTTTTAAAAATGCTAATAGCTGGTCAACTTTATGCCAATAATGAACATTATATGAACAGGAAAAAAAGAAGTGTTTATAATATAATCATCATGTTGCTTACAATAGAAGCACAAACCACTTGGTACTATTTTCCATTTATAAAGTAATTCATTACAGGCTAATATATAATGTATTATTTTCCATTTATACATTTTAAATTTGTTGTTTCCAAGGTAGTTAAAAATAAAGTTAAATGTGGACTTCAATTTTGTAGTCATTTTTTTATGAAGAATTCTTTCCCACATTAAAACTCCTGTCGGTTTATCATGTGTAAATTGACTTTGCAAGAAAGTATATACTTCTTTGTTACTCATATCTGGTGAAATTTCATGTTTTAGTAGTATATTTAACTTCACTGATGTTTTTATATTGACAACAGTTTTGTAAGAGCTTTCTTGTTTTAAAATATTTTGCCAGTGCTTTGGTATAGCTTTTTTAACTAATGAAAATTCTCTAATCCAATCTTGTTTATTCTTTAAATTTTTTAGTACAGTTTCTGATGAGATGTATCCGTTTTCATCTAATATATTATTGATGTACAAAATATTACTATTAATCCAGTTTTGAAAGAACAAACATTTCCCATTTTCTTTGATAAGATGATTTCCCCATATAAGTTGTTTTCTAACCTGAAGAAAGTTTCTTGGTATGATTGTTTGACCTCCTTTTATTTCTACCCATGTTTTAATTAATTGTTTATAGAATTCAGGTAAAGATTTATAATCTATTTTATTAAGCAAATTAACATTTGTTAAATTCATTCTGAATAAAAGAAAATCTTTCCCAAAATTATCAAGGTAAAATCTTGGAATAATTTTCCAGTTATCATTTTCCTTTTTGATTAGTTTTAAAACCCATCTGATTTGTAATGATTTAAGATAGCAGTCTAAATCAATCATTTGTAATCCTCCCTCAAGATATGGTTTACATAATATAGTACGTTTAACTTTATCTTCTTTTCCACTCCATATAAAATTGATGCAATGTATGTTAGGTTTGGTAAAATTAAAGACTTAACTACAGTTATCTTTCCTATTAATGTAAAGTTTCGTTTGTTCCATCCTTGAATTAATTTTTCACATTTGTCTATTTGCTTTTCTGTATTTAATTTATGACATTCTTGATAATTGTATCCAAAATATATTCCTAGACTTTTAATGTGGTCTTGTTTCCAGTTTATATTTTCAAATTTATCTTTTGAATGTTTAAGTTTCCCAAGCCACAAACCTTCTGTTTTATTTCTATTCAATTTAAGTCCAGAAAGGCTTCCAAAAGTTTCAATAATGTTAAGGGCTATACTTATTTCTTTGCGTGTTTTTAAAAACAATTGAGTATCGTCTGCCAACTGACATATTTTTAGCGAGCAAGATTTTCCATCTAATTTGATTTTAAATCCTTTTAGTTTGTTATTTTCCCTTAATTTAATTGCCATTATTTCAACAGATAAAACGAAAATTAATGAGGATAACGGACACCCTTGTCTAATCCCACGGAATGTATTAAAGGGGGCAGACACCCATCCATTATTTAAAATACACCCTTTTATATCTGTATACATAGTTTCAACCCATTTAATGAATTCCTTTTTAAAACCAAATTTTTTTAAAGATTCAAACATAAAACACCACTCCAGTGAGTCGAAAGCTTTAGTAAAGTCTAAAAATAAAATTGCACCATCTACTTTAAATTTTTCAGAATAATCAATGATGTCTTGGATTTGTCTAATATTAAATCCTATGTATCTGTTTGTTATGTAACCTTTTTGATCAGAGTGAATTATTTTTGGAAGTACTGATTTTAATCTTTGCGCTAAGGCATAGGCTAATAATTTAACATCATAATTTAATAATGTGATAGGTCTATAGTTATCAAGGGAGAGTGGATCATTTAATTTATACAAAAGAGATATAGCTCCAATTTTTTGGGAGTTGGTTAATTCACCTTTTTTAAAGCAATAATTGAAAACGGGTACTATCAAATCTTTAATTTGTTCCCAGAATTTTCTATAAAACTCAACATTTAGTCCGTCCAAACCTGGGGCTTTGTTCAGTTTCATTTTAAATATAGCCTCTGTGCATTCACTTATAGTAATTTTTCCTTCACATATATTGCTTTCATTTTCATTATTTTTTTTACATTCTTTAATAGTTTCAAAGTACTTTCTTACCTCTTCTGTGTCAGGTTTTGTTGAAGTATATAATTTAGTATAATAATTAACTTCTAGATTTATTATTTTGTTTTGGTCATATGTTACCTGTTTATTTTCATCATACAGTTGAGTTATAGTTTTTTTTACTTTGCCTTGTTTTTTCTAGGCCAAGAAAAAAGGATGTGTTTTTCTCCCCTTCTTCTAGCCATTTCACACGTGATCTTATTTGATTTCCTTTAATTTTTTCATTATATAAGCTTGCTAATTGTTTTTCTATATTTTCTTTTAGGTTAATTTTCCTCTCATGTGTATTGCTGTCACAATCTATTTCAGCAGGTAATGTTTTTAATGTGTTTTCTAAAATTTCAATATTATCTTTTTTAATATTTGCTTTTAATTTACAGTATTGAATGGTATAATCCCTTACCTCAACTTTAAAATTATCCCATAAAATATCTAGGTTTAGAGATGTTTCTGTTTTTGTTTTATATGTATTTTTAGAATTGTCGTTTTTTCTTCTTCTCTAATATGCCGTCCATTAAACCAGTTGTGATCAGTTTGATACCAATACCGATACACCACCAGCTAATTAGTGTTGTTACGTGTATATATATATAATCTGAGCATTGTTTTTTGCATTTTCATTTAAATCACTATAAAAGGATAATAAGTGGATACATATATTCTTGACCTAAAAATGGCTTTAAATCGGGCAACAATCATGTCTTAATTAATGATTGGTTGGTTTTGCATTTTTGTTTAACTTTACTTTCAGGACTATTTCGTGTCGGCTAGTTTTTATTGATGGAGGAAACCGCAGTGCCCGGAAAGAACCACCAACCCGCGGTAGGAAAACTGACAACCCTAGTAAATTAAGATTCTAATCAACCTTACATTTTTAATAATTGGTGAAAATCACTAGATTAAACATCAAAATTTTTTAAATAAAGTATCTCTTCAAAGATGACTGAGGCCAACAAATGGAAAATTCATATCACCATAAACACTGACATAGGTGCAACCCATAAAAATGAAAAAAAAAGGTAAGGTAAACTTTGGACAATCAGAGTCATAGCTAAGCGTAAGGGAGAACTTTCCTGAGTTCAAGATGGGTTCCATTACTTTTTAAAGACTAATTCCAACGATTTTGGTGTGTTTGCTTTCAAATATGATATCCGTGCCTTTTTACATTTCATAGATCCTGAAAAAGATTTGGAAGATACATATACATGATTAACACGTGTTTTTTTTTTTTTCTTTCTTGCAAATTGTAGTTTATCTTCGTGTATGTCGTTAAGTGTTATATGTCCTCTTTAAATAAAAAAAAAATAAATATTCTAGCTAAATAGTTGAATGTCAGGTGAAAAATGAAATGGTTTTTTTTCCGAAAAAGCTCAGCTTTATTTATATTTTCGATATTCTTTAATTTCTTGAATTTACCATATTAACAAACACTGATAAATCTTTCAAGTGCATCAATTCCTTCATAACTTTCTACATCTCATTAAAATATTCACAATACTAGTACTGGGTTTATTGTTATATTTAATTTTCCCAACATTATGAATAAGAGAACATGTTACGCCCGTCGCTTTTTTAACGAACAAAGTTTCACAACTTGGCAATGTCATATCAGAAATTTATATAAAAAATACTAAAGGAGTTATTTTCATAGATATACACCAGTTACCAAAATCTCATGAAAACTGTTCATAGCATTTGTGAGTTTTTAATTAGTTACTCGGAAAAGTAAAATCTAAAATTTATAAAACTCGAAGGGAGATTACGTCAGTAGATAAAACAATTTACCAAAGTGTCATGCAAATTGGTTAAAGCGTTAACGAGTTATTGTACGACAGTCGACGACGGACGGACTGGCAACGGTTTACTATTATAAATTCAGTAAACAGGTGTATAAAAAGGGGAGTCACATTATTATAGTACTCACAATATGTTGTTGTATTCCTCAGAAAAAGAATACCTTATTTATGTATGGCGAAACCTTTCGGAATTTTACGTCCTTAATGCTCTTTAACTTCGTACTTTATTTGACCTTTTTAGTTGTTTCGATTCGAGCATCACTGGCATGGATGGGGTAGTCGTAATCTGTAATCGTAATCGATTGTAATTGATTACATTTTTTAAAGTGATCGACAGTAATCTGTAATCGACAACATTTTCGATTACATGTAATCGTAATACAAAAATACCTCAATAAAGCTAACAATAATGTGTTCTATCCTAAAAATGTACTAAGTATTCCATATTAAGAGAAACAGCAGAATTATTTTGCAAATTTAAGGGCCCAGGGGCAAAAAAAAACAGAGAAAATCCCTCAACCCTGGGTATAAAAGAGATAATTCACCCTGTAAAGGCTATGATTTTATTATTATAAATGTCTTCTGTATAGAAAACAATAACTCTAATTTGAATTTATGCAGAAAACAGATTCCAGCAGTCAGTTCTATAAAACTTTTAGTGAATTCATATATCAGACTGGTAACTTCATCATGTTCATACATACATTTTTTTGCAAATATGGCTTTGTTTAAACACTTCCAGTCATATATTAGCCAAATTATGTTAGATATAAAGTAAGAGATAATATCATAGTGACAAGAATTCTTCACTGACCATTTGAGGCAGACATTGTGAACTTTTAAAGATAAGTAGGCATACAGTAAGATGTGGACTGGAGACAGAGGCAGGATTGGATACTTTATATAATCTTGAATGTTGTAATGATTAACTACTAAACTTTAAATTCATAGTATTCTGAAATGATTAAATTTGCTATCAGAATAGTTTCCTACAGGTTCTGTGCATTTTATGCCAGAAAACATGCACAAATAGTAAGCTGACATTAATTTAAGTCTTGTTTTCAAATTTAAAAAAAAAAATGAAACAGGGGTGGGGGTATAAAATGTACTGTGCAAATGCAGTGTTTTCTTTGAAAGCGCAAGACTTGTAAATTTCAAATATTTAAAAAAAAGTATAAATATTTTTTTTAAATGATTACTTTTATCGGTCTGAAAATGAATTGTCAGACTTCTTTCGACATTTTAACGCTTAAATGATTTTAGAAAAAAGTTACGTGCTTGATTACAGAAAAGTGGAGAGAGTCGAGCGCACCGCTATTTTACGCACGAGTGATTTTCTCATGTTTGTTTTGGAAAGACTTGCTAAAGAATTGAAATTTCCCATCCTTTTTTTGTAAGCCACTGAAATAAACTAAGGCGTAGATGCCGAGATTTTCAGACTACCAGAGACATGAAGTTTGAGGCATGGTGCAAGGAGGCATTTCAAGTCGTGAAATTGCACGCAGAATGCAGTGTTCGGCCTCAACAATTACCAGACTCATCCAAAGATTCAACCAAACTGTGTCTTTGAATGATAGGCCACGTCCCGGAAGACAGAGAACAACTACTGCCCAACAGGACCGATACATTCGTCTTCAGCACCTGCGAGATCGTTTTCGTACGGCTGTCAAATCTGCACGAGAGACTGTTGGCGTCCATAGGAGACAAATTGGAGCAAGCACGGTAAGACGCCGTTTGTGCAGCAGTGGATTAAGGGCACCGCGGTCTTTCCATGGTAACATGCTGTCAGCAGTATGACCCCAAAATCGCCTTAGATGGACACAACAGCGTCAGAGATGGTCACACAGGCAATGGACAACTGTCTTATGGACGGACGAATCAAGATTCCATCTCCACCGTAGTGATGGACGAACTCGTATGTGGAGACGAAGAGGAAAACTCTATGCAGATTCATGTATCCAATAGACAGATCGTTGAGGTGATGGTAGTGTCATGGTATGGGAAGGAATATCGTTCAACCATAAAACTCCACTCATCACTATCAATGGCAATTTAAACGCCCAACGCTACATTGATGAAGTTTTACGGCCGACCGTTATACCGTTTATGGCTAGGCATCAAGATGTTAATCTTTTTCAACAAGATTACGCTCGTGCACACTCCACACGACTTATCAATTACAACCATATTCAGACATTACCATGGCCAGCCTTTTCATCGGATTTGAGTCCAATTGAACACTTATGGGATCAAATTGGACAAGCCGTAAGACGACGACAGCCACCACCAGTTACGCTGCGCCAACTTGAAATTGCATTGCTGGAAGAATGGGCAAACATTCCACAACACCGTATCCGACGTCTGGTCAGGTCAATGCCACGTCGTTGAAGAGATTGCGTTGCAGCATGCGGTGGACACATTCGTTATTGAGACTGTGAGTTAGTGAATTGTAGCGTTGTGTTGCATGAACGCATTGCATTCGAATCGTGGTAATTGAACTTTTTGTTTGACTTTTATCTTTATAAACCCTTTAACTGTCATTAACAATTACTGTAAAGAAAATATTATTTTGTATAAAAATGTTATTTTTAAAAAACAAAGTGTTGCGTTTTCATTGGCACTCAGTATATATATACAATAACATACAGAAAAACAAATTGTCCTGTGGATTATTATTAAATTTTTGTTAACTTGAAACATCCAGTGGCAAACATTTCATGCATATTCAGGACGAGAATACACAAAACAATAACATTAATCAGAAATTGTTTCGACTGGGATTAAGGGCTTGAATGAACACTGTTACTGGAACAAAAGGTAGGTTTACAAAATTCAACTGATTGCAACAAATCATGTAAGGACCCTGAAATATTTTGCCGATGGTTCCTCAACTTTGGAAGCAAAGTAAACTCTGTGTGTACACAATGCGTCAGAATGAACGTCGCCAAACTGACTGGACGTGGCTACATATTTATAAATCCAACACGATCAGACTGACGACTCTCTTTCAAAGGGGTTTTACTTCTGCACTGGCGAAGTCTACGTGACCAGATGTGTATTACCCAATAAAAGTTCATAATCCTATCAAACATGAAATGCATTTAACTTTCATTTGCCTTGTTCCTACAATGCCCTAAACTTTCCAAGGTGCATTAGATTGTCTGTATATATACTCTAGAGAAAACACGACCATGTTAGTCAATTCCTTCTGATGAACCTTTAAAAATGACACTGTAAAGACAAAAATAGTTATTCATCAACCTCCCTTCAGTGTGTTTTTATATCACAAGATAAAATTCATCAACGGTAATGTACAGTAGTTACATAACGGGTGTCAATGGTGGAGCAGAAACTGCTGACCCATCGGAAGTTCATCTTGGTCCAAATTATTTTGGTTTATCTTTAGTTTTCTATGTAGTGTTTTGTACAAATTTTTTGTCTGATGTGTTTTTTTTCCATGGTGTCTGCAACCCCAACGCCCTTGTTACTTTCTGTTGCGTCGTACGAATCTTATGCATCAAGCTATTTCAAACACATTTTTAGAATTTGTTTTCTGTTCTTGTGTTGTTTCGCCTCTATCTAAGGTTAGGCGAGGGTTGAGCCCTGACAAACATATTTAACCCTGCAGTATTCTATATGTGTTTTGCAGTTATTATATACGTTCGATAAATATATCACAAGACAATTATTTGTTCAAGACAAGAATTTCTGGATCACCATAAAATACGAAAACTTAACCATTTAAAACACTCGTCAAGAGCCCAGCGATAAGTCAAAATGTTTTACTACAAATAAAATGGCACAAGAGAAGACTTCCCTGATAGCTTATTCATGAATCCGTGTTAAACATCGATTAAAATAACTTCATAAAAAGAAAATAATGGTTATTTTATAGAATTTATTCTAATTTGGTTCTTTTCCATGTTTAAGCATGAAAGTAAACATTGCATCCGTGAAAAATTTGACCACTGCTGCTTTTCACACCTTTTGTCCGAAATATCCTCTTCCATTCCGTCAGTACGAAGTTTCTTTTGTGAAGCTACAGACGACTCGGCAGAATCTTCAATGCTTGAACTACTGTATGGAGGGTCTAAAATTCCCGACACGGTCGCTGAAATTTCGGCAGATGTTTTCTTGTATTGCCTTATCCCTGCTTGAGATCTGTGGCCTGTCCTGGCCATAATCTCCTGCTCGTCGACTCCTGCATTGTACAGCTGTGTTTCACACGTGCGTTTGCAGCTATGATTTGTTAAGTAACCGGACAATCCTACCTTGGTACAAATCACCTTCATAAATGACTTCAACTTTTTTATGCCAAGCGGCTGATTTCCGTATCGTATTGGTGTTCCGGGGATACCTTTGAGTGGTCTCCTATGAAAATGTCCGTCGTTTGCTAATGCGTCAAGGTGGACTTCAAAGAAATCAGCGATACAACGTTCACCTATAAAGGAAAACATCGATGGATTTTAGGAAAGCGAAAAACCTACTTTAATAAAAACAAAATAAAATAATGAGATTTCATAAGAAACAAGGAGGATTTTCAGAGTTTGTTTCGCACTTTAACAGTATTTCAAATGTTTCGTTTAAGTCAGTTGACTGGCGAACGAAAATGAAATACCCAGAGAAGATAATAATAAGCAAGCATGGTTTCAAATAGATCCGATTAAAATGTAGGAGTTGCGCTCACAGCAATTTTGTCACAAAGGATCAACAGTTTTAAGTAATAAAGGTTATTAACTCCTTAAACATCATGAACATAGTCAGGTCAACTGCCGAAACGGTATGCGCATCTTTATACATGTATAATTATACACAAGCATGAAAAGTTTCAAGGATATTTGATTTAAAATGCAAGAAGAGTTTTTCCAGAACAATTTTGTGACAAATGATGAAAAAATATGACATCAAGTGACTCCTTCAAATATAGTCTGATCAAATTCCCGCAACGATATGCACATTTCCACCTGGTATTAACAACATGTAAAGGTTTTCGAAAGAGACCCGATGGAATCGCGCTATAGACAGACAAACGGACGGACAGACGGACAAGACAAGACTTGTAAAAGAAAAAAACAAGTGAATTATAAAAGTTATTCAAATGTTTTGGCGGCATACTTAACAAAAACCTTCGTTTTAAAACTGAGTATATTTTTACAAAAAAATTATAAAGTTGAGAAAATGATACAAAAAAAAATGTATGCTACAATTTCACTTCATATTGACAGGATTATTTGTACAATTCCAATGTATGTGTGTTTCTTATTTCTGGTTTTTTTTTGTTAGTCGATTTATTATATGCACAGCGTTGTGATGAAATTTTAATGATATAAAATTCTGTCAAACTATTGATGAAATAACATAATATTACCTGGTTTGCAGTAGTGTTTAATATTCTTATTGGTGATATTCATGTGACCAAGTCCCCCTTTAAAGGTTTTTGATTGTGTACCAATAAACTGCACAAATGGAGTACCATTTTCATCCCCAACAACAAATTGGCTGCATTGTAGGTCATGGTGTTCATTGCATGCACGCAGTCCAAATAGTTTGGCAGAATACAAAAACATGGTTCGTTGAAGCATTTCTGCCGACTCCTTCCCGAACACCTTTTCTCTCCACATCGATTCTTCCTGTTCTTGGATTATTGATTCTGCTTGTTTAATCTCGCATCCGATTCCCTTTTCTATCAGCATCTTCATACGAGCATCCAGAACCTTTCGAAATTTACCGAAGTTAAGATTCTGCTCATCTAAGAAATTTTTATCGTTCACGTCAGCATCTCTAAGATATCAGAGCAATCCACATGTAATGAGATATAGAGACTTTGGTTGGTACTCCACTCCGTCCTTTCTACGTGCTTCGACGATAAAACGTTGCAGCTAGAAATCCATGTCCTCTGAATTCATATTTAGAAGCTCTGGCACCACCCCTTCTCTACTTAAACGCCATTTCTCAAAAACGTTGAACGCCCATTTTGTGTTATTTTTAGTGTTCTGATTCTCAGTTTGTTGTATCATTAAAGAAAGGTCTTCTTCTGAAACGGGCGCCCCGAATCTTTTATTTTGACCAAGCTCACTATCCACAACGAATTCCCCATAGCTATCGGTTTCCAATTCATTACTGCTATCTGAAAAATAATTGAAGTAAAATATATCTATTTTGCTTACATTTAGATTTTTTTTAAATATTTCAAAGACTCTTCAAATCACTTTACACTAGATTGGTTCACGTCGTTTTTCTCGACTATTATACCATAAGTCAGCGTACAATATAAATGTGTGCATGTGCCTTCTGACAACGCGGATTCAAGAATTTACAAACATAAGCAAGAAATCGGTTTAGAAAACCTTTATCCTTTAAAAACCATAACATTTCTTAATGGCCAAACGATATGAATTTTCTCGCGGTTCTTTAAGGTTCATCTTGACCCATTGTAGGGTGTGCTTGATTGGTTTATATCTTACAACTTTAATTAAATGAAATATCAAACGATTCGTTTTATATAATTTTTTTTAAAGTGTTTCAGTCGACCTCAGTGGAAACCCATTCTAAAAAAATGAATCTTAATCTCTCGTAACTATTCAGACAATTTAAATTAAAAATTGTGAAGTTAATGATAATAGCTGTGTCCTGTCACCCTCAAGATTTTCAGAAATGAAGGATAAAAAACAAAAACTTGCCTTTTTTGAATTGCATGTTGAATTTGTGATGAATTCCAACTATAAAATCGGGGTTTTTTTCTTGACATTTTTTTTAAATCAGGGTAGCAGGACATATAGCTCTCATCATAAACTTCATAATTCACTGTTGCAATGGTGTGAACATTTATCAGATTATTCACTTATTTTTTAATGACTAATGCAAACAAAACTTTTCAAGTTAAGGGGTAATTTACAAAATAGAAAAAAATAATTTAACCAATCTAAACACACCCTACAATGGGTCATGATAAACCATAAATACCATCAATTAATTTGTAACAATAATATGTGTAATATTTATAACGTGAGTGGCATGAGTCGCGTGGACCTCATTTTTCTCCCAAGGTACACAATAAAGAAATCATGAACTCACTAAAATGGCATTTGAAGGTTGATGGTATATTTTTTTTAACAAAACCAGTTTCCACAAATTCATATTTATCAAAAAACAAAGATGTTTTAGATTTCTTCTATTTACCATTATTAAAAATAGTAAGAGGGCACTGCATGCTACCTCGCCTTTTTAAAAATATCTGATTCATGAATGAATAACAGCAATTAAAGCGCTGTTCCAGAGCTGTATATTAAATTTTGTCTCATTTGCTACTATATATCTCCTTTTATGTACAGCTTAAACATAAGACAATAGGACGATAACAACAGCAGTCATTTGATAAGAAACCATGATTTGGCAAAGTCTAAAACCTGAAAAAGTTATGCCTTAGTTGATTACGTTTCCAGGGAATAAAATATGTATATATATGATATGCTTACTAAATTACAACATAAAACTTGTTTAAACATTATGGTTCTTTTCCATGTTTAAACATGAAAGTAAACATTGCATCCGTGAAAAATTTGACCACTGCTGGAATTTTTACACCTTTTGTCCGAAATATCCTCTTCCATTCCGTCAGTACGAAGTTTCTTTTGTGGAGCTACAGACGACTCGGCAGAATCTTCAATGCTTGAACTACTGTATGGAAGGTCTAAAATTCTCGACACGGTCGCTGAAATTTCGGCAGATGTTTTCTTGTATTGCCTTATCCCTGTTTGAGATCTGTGGCCTGTCCTGGTCATAATCTCCTGCTCATCGACTCCTGCATTGTACAGCTGTGTTGCACACATGCGTTTGCAGCTATGATTTGTGAAGTAACCGGACAATCCTGCCTTGGTACAAATCACCTTCATAAATGACTTCAACTTATTTATGACAAGCGGCTGATTTCCGTATCGTATTGGTGTTCAGGGAATACCTTTGAGTGTTCTCCTATAAAAATTTCCGTCGTTTGCTAATGCGTCAAGGTGGACTTTAAAGAAATCAGCGATAGAACGTTCCCCCGATAAAGGAAAACATCGATGGATTTAAGGAAAGCGAAAAACCTACTTTAATAAAGACAAAATAAAATAATGAGATTTCATAAGAAACAAGGAGGATTTTCAGAGTATGTTTCGCACTTTAACAGTATTTCAAATGTTTCGTTTAAGTCAGTTGACTGGCGAACGAAAATGAAATACCCAGACAAGATAATAATAAGCAAGCATGGTTTCAAATAAATCCGATTTAAAATGTAGGAGTTGCGCTCACAGCAATTTTGTCACAAAGGATCAACAGTTTTAAGTAATAAAGGTTATTAACTCCTTAAACATAGTCAGGTCAACTACCGAAACGGTATGCGCATCTTTATACATGTATAATTATACACAAGCATGAAAAGTTTCAAGGATATTTGATTTAAAATGCAAGAAGAGTTTTTCCAGAACAATTTTGTGACAAATGATGAAAAAATATGACATCAAGTGACTCCTTCAAATATAGTCTGATTAAATTCCCGCAACGATATGCACATTTCCACCTGGTATTAACAACATGTAAAGGTTTTCGAAAGAGACCCGATGGAATCGCGCTATAGACAGACAAACGGACGGACAGACGGACAAGAAAAGACTTGTAAAAGAAAAAACAAGTGAATTATAAAAGTTATTCAAATGTTTTGACGGCATACTTAACAAAAACCTTAACTTGTTAAAACTGAGTATATTTTTACAAAAAATTATAAAGTTGAGAAAAAGATACAAAAAAAAAAATTATGCTACAATTTCACTTCATATTGACAGGATTATTTGTACAATTCCAATGTATGTGTGTTTCTTGTTTCTGTTTTTTTTTTTTTTTTGTTAGTCGATTTATTATATGCACAGCGTTGTGATGAAATTTTAATGATATAAAATTCTGTCAAACTATTGATGAAATAACATAATATTACCTGGTTTACATTAGTGTTTAATATTCTTATTGGTGATATTCATGTGACCAAGTCCCCCTTTAAAGGTTTTTGATTGTCTTCCAATAAACTGCACAAATGGTATACCATTTTCATCCCCAACAACAAATTGGCTGCATTGTAGGTCATGGTGTTCGTTGCATGCACGCAGTCCAAATAGTTTGGCGGAATAAAAAAACATGGTTCGTTGAAGCATTTCTGCCGACTCCTTCCCGAACACCTTTTCTCTCCACATCGATTCTTCCTGTTCTTGGATTATTGATTCTGCTTGTTTAATCTCGCATCCGATTCCCTTTTCTATCAGCATCTTCATACGAGCATCCATAACCTTTCGAAATTTACAGAAGTTAAGATTCTACTCATCTAAGAAATTTTTATCGTTCACGTCAGCATCTCTAAAATATCGTAGCAATCCACATGTAATGAGATATAGAGACTTTGGTGGGTACTCCACTCCGTCCTTTCTACGTGCCTCGACGATAAAACGTTGCAGCCAGAAGTCCATGTCCTCTGAATTCATATTTAGAAGCTCTGGCACCACCCCTTCTCTACTTAAACGCCATTTCTCAAAAACGTTGAACGCCCATTTTGTGTTATTTTTAGTGTTCTGATTCTCAGTTTGTTTTATCATTAAAGAAAGGTCTTCTTCTGAAACGGGCGGCCCGAATCTTTTATTTTGACCAAGCTCACTATCAACAACGAATTCCCCATAGCTATCGGTTTCCAATTCATTACTGCTATCTGAAAAATAATTGAAGTAAAATATATCTATTTTGCTTACATTTAGATTTTTTTAAACATTTCAAAGACTCTTCAAATCACTTTACACTAGATTGGTTCACGTCGTTTTTCTCGACTATTTTACCATAAGTCAGCGTACAATGTAAATGTGTGCATGTGCCTTCTGACAACACGGATTCAAGAATTTACAAAAATAAGCAAGAAATCGTTTTAGACAACCTTTGTCCTTTAAAAACCATAACATTTCTTAATGGCCAAACGATATGAATTTTCTCGCGGTTCTTTAAGGTTCATCTTGACCCATTGTAGGGTGTGCTTGATTGGTTTATATATTACAACTTTAATTAAATGAAATATCAAACGATTCGTTTTATGTAATTTTTTTAAAGTGTTTCAGTCGACCACAGTGGAAACCCATTCTAAAAAAATGAATCTTAACCTCTCGTAACTATTCAGACAATTTAAATTAAAAATTGTGAAGTTAATGATAATAGCTGTGTCCTGTCACCCTCAAGATTTTCAGAAATGAAGGATAAATAACAAAAACTTGCCTTTTTGAATTGCATGTTGAATTTGTGATGAATTCCTACTATAAAATCGGTTTTTTTTTTCTTGACATTTTTTTTTTAAATCAGGGTAGCAGGACATATAGCTCTCATCATAAACTTCATAATTTACTGTTGCAATGGTCTGAACATTTATCAGATTATTCACTTATTTTTTAATGACTAATGCAAACAAAACTTTTCAAGTTAAGGGGTAATTTACAAAATAGAAAAAAATAATTTAACCAATCAAAACACACCCTACAATGGGTCATGATAAACCATAAATACCATCAATTAATTTGTAACAATAATATGTGTAATATTTATAACGTGAGTGGCATGAGTCGCGTGGACCTCATTT